AAATCATATCGGAAAATATATGTGTGATATATTTTCCATATTGATATTATCGTGAGAATAATATATTTAGGTTTATTTATGTTAAAGATATTATTTAGTGAATATATCTTTAGGATATATGATTATAATAGTATATCTTTTAAGAATATTGTTTCCTATCTTATGATCTTAGTTTTGTATAAATACTCTACTTATTGATGAATAATAAATCAAGCCATTCAATTCTCTCTTTCATGCTAATTTGTTATGGTATCAAGAGCAGGTTAAATCTTGAGACCGTTCACAAAAATAATAAAATAAACCCACCGGTACGTGAATGCACTTTAAGCATTTGTTGGTGATGACTTGATGTAATTACATCAGCATGCGTGGCTTTTGTCACATACTCTTTGAGAATGGGGTGACTTTTTTGTGAGTTTATGTTGTTGACAAGGTGAAAACAAAGGGTAACCTTTGAGTTTTATTTAAAAAAAAAAAAAAAAAAAAAAAAAACAGCTCTCTTGTGTCGTGAGACAAGATATATTGGTTCTCCTTGTGCCTTGAGGCAGGGTTTATTTGTTGGTTCTCCTTGTGCCGTAAGACAGGGTTTGTTATTTGATTCGAGCATGATTTTGCTCCTTTTGATATGAGTTTGGTTTTATAAGAGATTTGAGTGGTTTGCTCTAAACAACCAATATTTGAATGGAGCTCGGTTTTGCTCAGGAAAAACCATTGAGTGTGGTTTGCTCTAAAAAACCAATATTGATTAGGGCTCGGTTTTGCTCAGCAAAAACCAAAATTGTTATTTTTGCAGGTTCGAAAAGAATGACGTTCCTGCTTGTTTGATGATTGATGGGTTCGAAAAGCTAAACGTTCTCATCATTCAAAAAGAAAAAAGAAAAAAATTGAAGGCTACATCAACATAGTAGTGCAACTCGATTGACTTCAACAAAGTGAAGAACTTTCAATCGCAACGTTCGTGTTACTGCCGTTACGATTGCGAATCGGAAGGGTGTTAGAGATATGAGATCAAATAATATCGGAAAATATATGTGTGATATATTTTCCATATTGATATTATCGTGAGAATAATATATTTAGGTTTATTTATGTTAAAAATATTATTTAGTTAATTTATCTTAAGGATATATGATTATAATAGTATATCTTTTAGGAATATTATTTCCTATCTTATGATCTTAGTTGTGTATAAATATTCTACTTATTAATGAATAATAAATCATGCCATTCAATTCTCTCTTTCCTCTTAATTTGTTAGGACCAAACCTTCAACATCGTTTGCTTAAAAGCTTGGACAGTATAGGGACGTGCAGTACATAGTCGCCCTACAAGCAATAGGTCAATTTTGTCGTCAGACTCCGTACCTTCGATATCGCCAACATCAATCAAATCTCCTTCTTCCTCTTCAATTCTAAGTGTCGAATATTGAATTGCCAAATCGTCGGCCATCGCTGGAGAACCACGCTCAATCAGAGGCAAAGAGCGTAGCGCAGTCGTTCGAGACGGAGAAGCGTCTTTCTTTCAAGGAGTTTCGCCCTTTCTTCCGAGGGAGAGGAAAGTTATTATCATACAATGCTTAATTGGTTTCCATCCATGTGGTAGTCTTATTTGACTGTGATGCTGATGAGTAATGAGAATGATTCAACACCAACCATGTATGGAGTTGTATAAACGTAATATTTTATGTTATTGAAAATGTAATTATTGCATGCATATGGTCATTAAACAAAGGCAATTGGACGTTTCTTTATTATTAGATTTCTGCCTTTTCTCGTGGTCATGTTAATAAAGATGTCTTTGCTCATGATGAAACATAATTTTGCTTTATTAATTTCTTGTTGATTGAACAATAGGATATTAAGTTCTTTCCTTTCTATATAATAAATCAGTTATCTCATTCTAAACTATCCTATTATAATGTGTCGATTTTCCTGAGTTAAGTAAGTTAGATAATAATAAATCAACCTTTGATAATATCTGGTATAAACATTGCCCCGCCTACCCTCCCCCTCCAAAATAAAAGATAAAAATAACTCATGTAGTAAATATAAATCACGATTTACGAAGTACGAAGTACAAGCTAAGTAATGAGATCTACATAAAAGAGCTTATAATTATGAGAATAATTAAAGTACTTTTGATTTACTTTGTAGGTTTGACTCTTTAATCATAAGTTTGGTGTATGTGTAAAGTATCCCATCAAAAAACAAAGTAAGCAAAATACAGTACAAGTATAAGCAGGCTTCCTAAAATTTGAAAAAGCAATACTATCAAAAAAAATATTTAGAAAATTGATATTATGAATTCCGGATACCTTATCCTATAAATTACATATATTTAACAAATTAAATAGCGAGCGAGCAAATGTACATCCAGACACATAATGAGACCCTAAAAGATAATTTACTCTCTCCGTACACAAATAATCTTGTATTCTTTTTTTTAGATGTCTACAAAAAATCTCATTGTTACTTAAAATTAAAAAATACTTTTACTCAATCCATGATCAGTTCACCCTTTTACTAACTCTGTTTATCTCTCATTATCACTACATCCTACTAAATTCCTTAATATATTTGTGAAAACTCAATAATAATAATAATAATAATAATAATAATAATAATAATAATAATTATTATAATAATAAAAATAAAAATAAATAAATATAGGGACGAAGGGAGCATTTTCTTATAAATTAGTGTTAAAACATGGTAAAAAAATTTAGAAGCTCAATTTAAACATGTCTTAACATCTTATTTTGAAAAGAACAATAATATGGAGTATGGCTTAGCTTTTTGGATACATGAATTTTGACGAAAAAGCATAGTCCATTAGCCCACAACGCTCAATGGCTCAAAACTTATGTTTTATGATTATGACTCTATGAGAATATGCAATATCATTAATTCATTACACAATATGACAACAATGCATACAATACTTTTGGCCCAATTTCGAATGGGTTGAGCCATCCGAATATACTACGTAGTAAAACTTTGTTGCCTTATTTACACGGCCCGTACCTAAATCCATTGGAATTGACAAGTAAAGCCCATTTACAAATATAGACATTGGAACCATCAAGATTTATTTTATTTATTTTACTTTTTTTTTATTTATTTATTTATTTATTTTTATTTTTTTTGGCAAGATTCTATAAGCTATACGCCATACTTAATAAGTCATGATACATAATTTGCACATAACTTTTGCTACATAATTTCACATCTTCTTATTTTGATAGCATTAACAGATGAGTTTATGACCAATCAATATTGGATATTTGAGTCAAATTATGAATAATATAATTTTACGAGAACAGTTTAAAAAGTCAAAATGATACAACTATTTCAACATGATTCATGAGAATGGTAATTATATTGTCTGTAATTGATCTGTAAACTAATACGGAGTAACAAATTTTATTATCGGCTGATAGGGCATTGATCTTGTGAATGCAAAATTTGCCCATCTATTTCAACAAAACCTGATTTTTCATTAAACCAAAAAACCTCATTCTTTGTAGTTTTAGTACAACAATAATGTATTGATCTCAAAGCCAATCAATGATTAGCATCGATAATTATGGACATGAACGCCTTCCTTAAGCATCTGCCCTTTATAGAACAAATCATACGTCTGAATTTGATAATATTCACAAGATTACTTGATCAAAAATTCACTCCACAGCAGCTTGATTGACTCTATACTGAGGCTCCGTCGACCAACTCTGTACATGAGCAACTACCTTTTGTGCCTGCTCGTAACAAAATGACAAGTATAGGGTGATCAAAATATAGAATATGATACTTTGTCCGTCTCCAAACAAAAGTCTCATTTAACCCAATAGACTGTATTACAAAACAAGAGAATAAGCTAGAAATGACAAACATTTATTGTACCTCTTTATCCCAGTCGCATGACAATGTGATTATGGCTAGAATCAATGTCTGAAGAGCAGTGCCACCAAAGATCATACCAGCCCAAATTCCCTATTATATGCATTAACCATACACATTATAAGAAAAAACTCCTAAAAAAATGGTAGGAAATGATCATAAAATAAGAAAGTTGAGTTAGTTGAAAAAGGTTACCGTAACACCAGTGTTGAACACCCACCCCATAACAACTCCAAGAGGAAGTCCAACAACATAGTAGCACCCGACATTAATGTATGCTACATATACTTGCCATCCCCATCCAATTGCCACCCCTGGACCACCATAAACAAATACGGAGTAACATATTATTCCATATATACGGTGTACTTATAACTTATTTTTCTGGTTTTCTTTAACTTATTTCGGTATATTTGATTTTTCTTCTTAAATTTGATTTAAAGAAAGTAAAGGCCGTTTTTATTAATTTGATATAAGTAGTCAATAACAAAAACTACCTACAACACATGTACAACTCTCATAATATACGTGCATCCTTTATTTCTTTTCCTTTTTTCCATAAATTTTAATAAATAAAATGGAGTGTATAACTAAATCTTCCTACTCTTTTACCTCTATATCTTATCTCTCCACTCATACACTTCTTAAAATCATCTAATTTTAATTTGTATGTCACTTAACGCGTTAAATAATATAAGTACATGTACCACACTCATGTAACAGAATAGGGGCAATCTAAAAGGCATCTCTTGAACTATCACTTTTCTAGAGAATGTAAGCATTCTATTATTCCCATGTCATAATCTTGCAAACTTTTTTTTTTTTTGGGTCTATCATATTTCATCTTTATAACCAGGGGTTTAATTTCCGTCAGATCATGCACATTATTAAAAAGTTTTATGAAAGAAAAAGTGATTGATAATTTAACCTTTGTAAGTTCTTCTTATCCCGTCTATTACTTTTAGCTAGGCCCGTTTGATCATTATCGTTAGCATCAAATTGATAGTAATAGACTAATGTAACATAGTTTTACGACAGATTCTACTAGATTGACTCCATTTTAATATATATGATAATGCAACCCTATTCTTGAATATTATTTTATACGAGTACTCGCATTTCAGAAGAATGGTAATAGCCATCTCGAAGAGGTCCATTATAACCATAAATTCTACTGAGTAACCCTAGAGTTGATTAGCTATTTTAAACGCAATATCATTAGAAATACTAGGAATAATTAGAGTACTAGAAAAATAACGACGAAAAAGTAGATATACAAATATATGATAAATGGAGTCAATTAAGGGAGTACGCGATGGTGTTACCTGAAAGGACAGGCTGAACGCTGTTTAGAAGAATGGTAACAGCCAAAAGCCATGAAAGTCTATCAACCTCTTCAAGAACAGGAACACTGTCTGAGAATATGATGGCAAACCTATCATGGAGTGCCATGATTAGTACGCAAAAGAATAGTCCGATAATTGTGGAGGTTGCCACTGACACTTTTGTTGCGAATTTTGCTGCTTTGCCGTTGCCTGCTCCTAGTTCATTAGCCACTCTTACTCTGTTGAAACATACCATACGGAGTAAGTAATTAATGAGCAAAATACATCGTCAAATCCATTACATATTATTTTAAAGTGTTATACAAAGAATTACGAGTATGTAGCAAATGCAAAGTAACTTATGAGAGGTAGAGAGGATGAAACCTAATTAATTAACTGTGTCATATAAGTTATTTCGAATAGAGGTTATTACGAACAAAATCCTTATGAGAAATAATAATTGTAATCAGGGCAGTTATCATACCAAGACTATAGTGTCGTACGTGATCTACCTCTAACAAAGGGACTAGTAAACTCAGTCCAACTTAGTAAGTTAAACTCTTTGATTGGTTTCAAACTTGTCGAGGGAAAAATTAAAGTTAAAGGGTAAGATATTCCTTACTCGAAGAGGCCATATGTACAAGCTAGTTGCATCAGATGTTTTGACTAACTCTTTAAATAATCTAATTCACCAAACATCAAAATAGCTGATTGCAAGAATGATTCAAACAAGGATTGATTGAGCAACCTTTTCAAATTAGCTTATTGACTCCAATAAGCTCTTTAAATCATCTATTTTCAAAACACCAAAATTAAATTATCTTGTTGTTAAACCGCCTATATACAAATAAATATTTAATTACAACAAGATAAAATCTCATCAATCATCTTTTCACCAAATACGCCTACACTTTTGATTGAGCTCAAACCTATATGGTCAGCATCTATTTTGAAAGTGTACAATGTGTGAAACTAGCTTGCATGTTGGACGGTAAATTCAGTAACTCAGTCAGTGATAGAAATTTCCTCAATTAGACATGTAACACGTTGGTAACGTAACGACTAAAGGGCCGGGTTAAAGAAGCCATAGCAGAAATTAAATAAGGCTGTCCTACCTACCAGTTATCACCCAAGGGCCAAGGGCTCCAACTATATTAGCATTATCGAAAATTCGAAACCAACTCCTTTTGAAACTTCATTGTGCACGATTCATATTGTAGATTATAAAATAAATATTTAATAATGTGTAGTACTCAATATAGTTAATAGTTGTTTGGGAGCATGCATACATCTCATGTTGATATTATCATCATTAAATATTGGAATTGCATTTGCACAAGCTAAAATTTAAAGGATAAATTAAAAAATATGTAGTACATACTACATATTGAGTTTGTATATGTTATACGAAGTACTTCGTATGTGTTTTTTTTTTTAGGTAAGATGAAAGACTCTACTGAACCAGCACCTCTTACAGGTTAAGCTATTTCAGCTTTGCAGGTCAACGCTTGAGAGTAGAGAGGGGAGGTAAGGGAATTGAATCCCCCTACTCCCAAGCAATTGTAGTTAGTGGGACTTTAACTCATGACCTCAAAGTCACAAGGTGAGTTTCTCATCAACTCAAGCTTGGTTAGTACTTCGTATTCGTTGCTGGACCATAATGGTACATACTATTACTATCGTATTTCTATTGTATGTAGTAATTTATAAAATAACGAATGATTTTTTTTTTTTTTCAAAGTTAGGCTATATACTCTTAAAGGCCAATCCAACTTGATTTAACGGGCTAGGCCCTATGGGAGTGGGGAAGGAAGATGTGATGACAAAATGTCAATGTTTGTGGGATGCTAATTTTCCAATAGATAAAAAAAATTACTTGGTAATATATTCATAATTAAATAACGGATGAATATAACTATAGGATTTAGTATAATACGATTAATATTCTAAGTAGAATAAAATTTTTGCTACATACTGCTATGTATATTAGTACTCTTGTTGAAAAGAACTGGTCGAAAGAAAACACAAAAGAAATATTACCCGGTTGCGGCGAAGAAAGCCAGAGGAATCATCATCTCCCAACCATTAATTGTCATGCTGTCCGTTCAATAAATTGACAAGATCAGTACTATAAAATTTATACAAATTAGTCATGTAATGTACTATAAATAGCAGGTCCACAAAAATAGAAATTATCAACAATATATATAATTGTAACAGAAAAATAGAATTATGAACAATAAGATACAATGACATTACTTACCAAACTGATAAGGCATCAACGGCAATCGCAGCATTTTCTAAGCCACCTACCATCAAAACCAGTATTCTGTAGTACCAATTCTCCAAGCTTTATTTGCATCAGGGAAAATATACACACAAACAAACATTTAGTTTAAGGGTGTAAGGTTACAAAACTCGGAAAATATCTAATCCTTCCGTTCTATAATATAATTCGTTTTGACGAAAAAAAAAATACTCGTAATGTTTATGTAAATTTAATACGTGGTACTCAATATTAATGCATATATACTTCGTATTATGTAGGTATTTTATACTCCGTATTCTTTACAGCAATATCCTTATTGTTATTGAAGCTTATTATTGCTAGCCCTACCAATTATGCACGCATTTTCAAGTTAGTTCAACTCAACAACTTTAGATATCCTTTACTTATTGATAACTGTTTATTACTCAGTAATTAATACTTGGTAGCTAGCTAGTTCTATTAACAAGCTGGTAGTATTAATTGTTTGCTGATATAACTAGGTGATTGTATTAGTAGTTTGTGTATATTTTTTGGTAAATAATCATAATTTTATTGTGTAGATTGAATGGTTAGAGAATTTTTAAAAAACCCCTGATAACAGGTAATTAATTTGATCAATTTTATGATCAAATATTGTTTCACAATTGCTTTTTAAATCTTCTCTTGGACAAACACTTCTACTATATTAGACAAGCCAATTCTCTTATTTACCCCAAAGTTCTCTTAAGCAAACACTCCATAGACTTATTCTGTGATCACTGACCCAAAATTTATAATTCTATATATGATTGATTGTGATCTATTATGAATTTATGATTAATACATATACTGTTAAGGATTCAGCAATATTGTAGTGACGACCCATCTAGAATTCTAGATCTATTCATAAATGTTGTTGAGTCTATATTTAATTTTGTGAGGACATTACATGTGAGATTGTGAGCCCATTTTAAAGGAGAACCTAGAAAGTGAATTGAAAGCTCTTGTATAATTCCTCCGTTTCACAAATATTGCAACAAGGATGAAAATTACGTACGCATTCCAAAGCATATTTTATATGTTAAATATCTATAATTATATAAGAATAAAAATTATACAAAGTTGATATTGTGAAAGTATTTTATGAAACGAATCTAACAAAATCCCACATAACTATATTTTACTTTACGTATAAATCATAATATGTGGTCAAACAAGTGTGATGAATACTACGAAAGTCCAATTGTTGCAATATTACTAGAACGGTGGAAGTATAATATTAGGTGCATCAGATCATCAGTTGCATTATTAATGATATGATGGTATGACAAGTAAATCACATTTCAGTAAATTACAATTTTAATTTAGTAAATTCATGCTTTGTAAAATTCTTTTCAAAATTCACCCGTTCCCTGTCTTTATAAAATACTACCAGTACTTAAAACGACATGTTATTTAGTAATGAGGACTAATGACCCAACTACGAGTATAATTATACAATATTTACTATGGAGTACTAACTATGACATGAATAACATTTGAATTTCTTGGAAGAATTGTATCATTATCATGCGATATTGTGATGCAGCCGTTGTATAGGAACAGTCGAATAATAGAAAAATTACGGTGTGTAAAGTGAAAGAAAGTTGTAAGTAACGTACCAAAGCATGACACCGGAGGCAGCAGAGAGCTTAACGAACTCCCAAAGACCTACGAAAGCTTGCCAAGAAAATCCACTCCACGTCTCAGGACAACCACCCCAAGCAACATACGCCATTTCGCCAAAGAAAAGGATCCACCAAGAGACATTGAGGGTTACACAAAGGCCAATAATTCCCATATTAAAGACATATACAAGGAGCCAACTCATGAATACATGAACAAAGAATGCTGCAAGCGAAACCCAAGCAATGATAGCCGTCTTAAGTTGGCTTTGTAGGAAGCGTTGCACCGGGAACGCGAAAGCAAAGCTGAAGTGTAGAGGGATTAGCCATGCTGCGACTAGGCCTGTTAATTCAGCTATGTCGTCTGGCTGGCCTGCTAGTTTGAGTAACGGAGTTGCGAAGATGTAGAAAGGGAGGAGGAGGAAGCAACAAAGGAAGAGAACTATCCATGATCTTTGCATGTAGATGCCTAGCATGTGTAGTTTTTTGGCTCCAAATGCTTGCCCACATAGTGTTTCCAATGCACTTGCCATCCCTAGCTGTGGAACATTTTACGTAAAGTGAATAAATTAGTGTTAGTAAGAATATTGCTTAGAGGATTAGGATTGAATTCAAGATTGAAACTTAGAAAATCACATATTGTAACATTGTAATCTCCTTGATGTACGTATGTCAATGTACATTTACAACTATTATATACGGTAGTATATTTCTTAGTTTATATGCAGTTTTAGTAAAAAAGTATATTATTAACATGTGATAATACTGCAGCACATTGGTGATGAATCAAGCAGAACGCCATGCACATAACATGTGATAATACTGAAGCACATTGTGACGAATCAAGCAGAACGCCATGCACATGACTATGTTTTATGCATTGAGAATAATGTAAAAGATATCACTCCCTCTGTCTCATAATACATGAGACGCTGGACTTTTTTCACTATTTATGTATTAACTTTGACCATAGTTTTTTACTAACATAATAAAAATAGATTTTATCATAAAATATGTTGTTAAATAGGTATAATATAAAGCTTCATAATATAATTTTAAAAATAATTTTAATTAATATTTAATTATATAAAAATAAAGTCAAACTAGTGCATTGACATGTATGCAATATTGACTGTGTCATGTATGAAACAGAGGGAGTATCCACTATTTTTTTTTACATGAGCTTAAGCAAGAAATTACAAGAAAATATTAAATGACGATAACCTACTGTTCGCTGTAGTAGCAAGAAAATACTATCCATTATTGCTACACATAAATATGTGGTTCTCTTATGAAGAATTGTGAAAAAAATTAGTGTATATGGGATTCTTGCTACTGATTTGATTGCACCCAATAAGAATTACACTGTGCGCGCTAGATCGATATTTTATTTTAATAATTTTATATAAGCAACTTTCATATTATGAAGCCTAGTAAAATGTAGAAATTAAAAAATAAAAAAAATAAAAAATAAAAGTCCATCATTTGTCATTATTCTTCCGTGTTTGATTTTACCACGAAACTTATTCGCGAAGGAGTTTCGTGAAATCTACCAGTGGAGCACAATAAAAAGGGGTAGCTGTTTAGTGTTGACCATTCCACGATATTGACGTTACTCTTACAATTAGAAAATTAATACGAAGTAGAGATGTAAATTTCTAACCCGAATTGTTAAATTCGACTTTTTCGAACTGATTTGAAAAGGAATTAAACCGTTAGAAATCCGTTTTTTAGAAACCGAAAAGTGACCCAACCCATTTTTTTCTAACCCGAAACTAAACTGAACTAAATTTGTGCGAAGCGTTACTAACCCGACCCGTTATCAAGCCAAACCGTTGCAACCCGAAACTGAAAACAACCCAAACCAATTATCTTTGAGCTCGATAGTAACCCGACCCATTCTAAATCGAAAACCGTTTAAACTTGGAAAAAATCCAATAAACCTGAACCGATCCAACCCGTAACTCGTTGTGACCGAACCATTTATAACCCATAACCTGTTATGACCGAACCGTTTCCAACCCGTAACCCGTTGAGACCAAACTATTTACGATCCGTAACCCGTTGAGACCGAACAGTTTACGACCGGTAACTCATTATTACTGAGTCGTTTACAACCCGTAACCCAATATGTTTATGATCTGATCCATTTCAACCTACTACTCGATAAACTTAACTTATTTATGACTTAACTTGATTATAACATAACCCGATCCTACCCATTATCTAATTAACTCGACTCGATAATGATATGACTCGATTTTAACCTAATATGATTTGGACTGAAACCCGCTTCAAATTAGGAAAGCCCGTTTTTAAACCGATCAAGTTCAATCCATATCGATTATGACCTGAACCGATGATGACTGGACCCCCGATTTCACCTGATCTGTTTTGAACCAAAACCCATTTTCAAATCGACCCGGTTTAACCCAAACTGATTATGACCCGAATCGATTACAACCCGACCCGATTAGAACCCTATTTGTTTTGAACTGAAACCCACTTTAAACTGGCTAAACCCGTTTTCAAACCGACACAGTTCAACCCAAACTAATTATGACCCGAACCAACTACAACCCGACCCGGTTAGGACCCGATTCGAATAGAAACCACAATAAAAAAAATAAAAAAAAATCAAACCGAATTGACCAGATGATTTTCAAAACCGACCCAAACTGACTCGCTAATTATTTCAACCCGTTATAACTCAAAACTGATAAACCCAACCTAAATCTGAACGATTTTCCCGAATTGATAATCCTAATACGAAGTATTTTGTTGCCTTGTTGGTAGAATTCATTCCGAAAAATAAATTAGATGAAAAAGTTCTGCTACTTTTATCAAATCCGTTGGGATGATTAAAAAATGCTTTTTCATTAGGATTCCTCAGTGTTTGGAAGTTTGGAACACTCTAGACAATTTCACATTCACAAAAATTAATACCCTCTAGACAAATTCACACTCTAGACAAATTCACATTCAAAAAAATTGATACCCTTAGATTTGATAGCCATTATATTGTCATTAGTGAACTCTCCTTTGAATTTAAGGGCTCATTACTACACTCGCTCGCCTACTTTCGTGTGTTAAATACTCTCCCCGCCCCATTCCTTTTTATTCTTTACTCTTGATTTTTACGTATTATTTAATCAATGTCGATATTTGATCATAAATATAGGGAAAAAAAAATCTAAAAATAATATTTTGAAATATTTAAAGTCAAAACTTAACAAAATTTCACATGACATGATTTTACTGTTTATAATAGTGAATTCTTATATTCAAAGTTTTTAAAGTTGACCATATAAGTCCGGCAAAATTACACAAACTATTGGGTGCGGCGAGAAAAAATTGGGAACGACAGCGGCAGAGGTGGAGTTGCAGGTCGCAATTGCCGGAAAAATACGCCGAGAAACTCCATATCAATTGCAACAAAGGAGCAATTGTCGATCAAAGATCGAATCAACAAAAACTTAGATTCAAGATTATCAGACTATACCTCATTTCGTTGCAAGATTATCAGAACAAAAATCAAAGATCGGATATGATAATCTTGAAACACTACCCTCTGATTCAAGATCGTAGGGGAGGTGCGATTCGTTGGTGCAGGTTGCAGGGGAGGTGCGATTTGCTAGTGCAGGTCGAAGGGGAGGTGTGATTCGCTGGTGGAGTTTGTTGGTTGATGGTGGTGCTACGATTTGTGTGGCTGCGTGGCTGAGCTCGTAACAGGTCTAGTGTTTAGGGGTTGTGGGTTAGTGTGGTGAGCGAGGTTAGGGTGGTGGCTGGTTGATGGTGGCGTGAGGTTAGGGTCGTGGGTTAGGGTGGTGGCGTGAGGTTAGGGTCGTGGGTTAGGGTGTGGGTTGTTGGGTGGTGGCGTGAGAAAGAAAGAGAGAAAGAGGGGGGAAAAGGAGAGAGAAGGAAATAAAAAATACTAGTATCATATTAGCCAACAAATAATGCATACCAGACATTAAAATGAACTTGATGTCTGATATCAGTCAACATTAGGGACATATCAGACATTAATAAAAATGTATCAGTCAACACAAGGAACATATCAGCCAACAAATGAAATATATCAGCTAACAAATGAAACATATCAGTCAACAAGTGAAATATATCAGTCTAGCCTGCCGCATGCAAATTACGTGCGGCACTCCATACCCAATACCTTCTCAAAGAATTATAAGGAAGGGTAGAACTAAATTTCCAGGTTATTCAAACAATTTTCTTGTTTAAATTTGTGTATTGTGTCACTATTAATTGATCATGCTCACCGTAGAATTAGTCATGTTAAGTACTCCATCCTTAGTACACTAATTTAAAGCAAAATTAAAGCCTTAACCACGTATTGATCAACAACTAACCGTTGTCATAATAGTGGAGTTAATGTCGTCTAAAGTAGGACTTCAATCAAGCACTCTTTTCCAAAGAGAAACCCGTTGATAATATTCTAATTGTTTCCGTTAATTAATTAATTAACATATTACTAAGAGAAATGACTAATAAAGATTGATTGATTTTACCCTTCAAATAAAATTAAAAAAAAAAAAAAAAAAAAGGTAAAAGATTAGTCATATTGAGGCGCGGGACGTTACTTCAAACTTAAAATTATTAACTTGATAATATAGCACCCAAAGTTTGAATATACTGTATTAAGTCATTGTCAAGGATGCCAACTCTCGAGTTCCACAGGGTGAGTATTGTATTTTTCTTTTTTTTTTTTACACGGTAAGATATAAACGTGTATCTCCTATCACGGAAAGGGTAGGGTGAGGATCGAACCTAGGTCACTCCTGGGGTCCATGATCCTCATGGTGAATATTGTATTAATGCTTCAGCAATGCAGCTAAAACATCTTAAAACTTTCCTAACTTTTTATATACCTTTCTTTTAAAAAAAAAGAGTTTGGCTAAAACTTCTCGTCCCACCTTTAGGCAAATATAATTAAAACTACGTTATGCTCATATAGAAGTTCTCTCTATTTTGTTTCAAAAAAAAAAAAAAAAAACGGTTCTCTCTATTTTTTTTTATCAAAAATAAAAGTTCTCTCTATTGTTTATGGTTTGATTATTATTTTTATTGTATGTGGTGCTTTAAATAGTTCGACACTCTGACTGTATTTTGTTTTAAGCAATTCTATAATAATATTACACTTTTCTTTGGTCCCCTCGTATTTTATCCTTTTTTTTTCTAGCCATTTAAATTATACTTCGTAAGTTATTATAAAGATACTTGAAATTTTTTCTGTAATAGACAATATAATTAATTTTATAAGATTACTTGAAATTTTTGATAAATTACTTGAATATGCTTCCTCTATTTATTTTTTTATTTTTTTTTTTTTTTTTTTTTTTTTTTTTTGCAACACTTCTCATTATATGCTTGCCAATGCATTATTTCAATCATTAATACTTTGTATCTTTTATTATTAATATGGAAAAATTATACTCGTAACAATTTAATACTCCCTCTGTCCCAGAATATCTGACACAGTCAACTTTGTACACATGTCAATGCACTAGTTTGACTTTATTTTTATATAATTAAATATTAATGAAAATTATTTTTTAAATTATATAATGAAACTTTATATTAATACCTACTTAACAACATATTTTATGATAAAATATGTGTTGGGAAATATCACAAATAATCTTGCAGCGGAAATAATATTTACTTTCCCTTTGTGTATAAATAAAATAGGTAACAATTATATCTCTGTACCATAATAGATTAACTCACAAAGTGTTTATAAACTATAAACTAATATTCGATGGTATACTCTCAAATTTAAATTGTATATATTTCTATTTATCAAAAATAATGTAATATAAATTCTATCTCAATTTACAATTAACAAATAATCTGATTACATATTTATAATCAGCCTATATCTAAATAACTAATGATGCAAATTATCGTTATATAATTTGCAATTGATTATTTCTTATTTTGCTACTACTCTCCTTCTTTTTCTCTCCTTTTATTCCTCTCATTCTTTCTCTCTTCTTTCTTGTAAATTCTCCTTTATTTATTTTTAGCAAATTCTAATAATAAGGAGGAATATTATCCAACAATATGTTTTTATTATGTTAGTAAAAATATTATGGTCAAATCTAATACATAAATAGTGAAAAAAGTCCAACGTCCCAGATATTTTGAAATAATGTCGAGATTAATAATAAACTTTAAATCGAGACGAATCTAAAAAAATTCCACATGATTATATTTTTCTTAAACTATATAAGCAAAGCTAATAAAATACTTCGTATATAAATAGGGTAAAGTCAAATATTGCATACTTCCTCCGTTCCTTTTTAGATGACACAGTTTGACTTTTACACTATTCATAAACAACACTTTGACTTGCTTTTGTGATTTGTAGCTACTATAAAACATAATCATGTGGGATCTTGTTTGAATCGTCTTAATGTATATTTTATTAATATCCACTTTTTATAATTCTACTATGTTAATAATGGGAGATATAACTCGTGAAAATTGTGTGTTGGTAAACGTGATAAAAGAAACGTGTCATCTATTAAGAAACGGGGGAAATATTAAGGAAAACGGATAAAGTATAATTTTTTTCCTAATGGGAAGCCTGTCGAAAATTACTGTAAGAAGTAGGAGAAAGAAACAAGACAACAACCGCTCAAAAAAAGGAAAAAGTTTGTGCTGGCATTATCTAGAAAGCTGGGAATTAACCACATAAATACAAACAGCTCTTTGTATTCGTGAGCAACAAATTTCTGTTTTCTTCTGATTTTAAACTTTTCTGGCGGTTCAGATAAAAAATAAATTAAATAAATTTTATTTTTTTTAAAAGGTATATTATGTTTATATATTAAACTAAAGATAGACCTATGCATTAGGAATTTCCCTCATAAGAAAGGTCTCCTAATGCCTTCTGTTTTCTTACCTTTTTTATTAAAAAAAAAATAAAAATAAAAAAAATAATAATAAATAAAAAACTGTTGAATATAAAGTAAATCTTAATTTTTATCTTAGATTTTACCAATAATTACACTGTATTCTGTATAAAGTAAATCCTATTTTTAACTAGCTAAAATACATACAGTATATATTTCATTAATATTTTTGTAGACTTTAGTATGAATAAATGTCAAAACAAAATGAGTATGCATTTGATTTTGACTTATTTGAAATTATCTTAATTTTCTTAAAATTATCAAATAATAAAAGATAAACATAAATAAAAGTTGTACTCTTACCATTTTTTGCATGCATCACTGCATTTTATTTTACACTTTGTTTTTATTCGGTGTTACTTTCATCATCTTTATTAACAAATGGACCGAATTTTTTTTTGGAGGCCAAAATTGAACCCAACAATAACGGTGTTAGCAATCGAAAGAGATGCAAGCTCAACATCACCGAGGTGGCCGGCGAAGGCGGTCGTAACGACGTTCATTGAGAAAGATGCAATCCTACTAACGATCGATGGACCGGCTACATGCCATAACTTCTTAGACTCTTCCCATATCCTTTCTCCTAGTTTTAAACACCCTTGTTGATCAACATTATTATCCTTGACAATAACCGATTTTTCGCCATTGATATTATTATCGTGTTTTGATAATATTAATGGTTGATTTAACTCTTCAATCTTCTTCATAATTTTGTTCTCGGAATTTATTTGAATATGGAGGAGTTTAATTTGGTGTGTAGGAATTTAAATGGGATTGTTTAGAAAAGAATATGGTTTTTATATAAGAGTGAATAAAAATGTCGCACGTAAATGAATCATATGAATATATGATACACAAGCACTTATGTGGCTCCCACGAGAACTCGAGTATTTATTGTTACGCTCAGTGCTGACGAAATCATTTTTGCGCAAAATTTGTGTATAACGTGTACAATTTTATACTATGATTGTTCGTTTTAATTGCTGAGATATAATTGTTTCAAAAAAAAAAAAAAAAAAAAAAAAATTGCTGAGATATATCCTCCAGATTGACCGACCTAGCTACAATACTGAATAAATTTCGTCAAAAAAAATCATTACTGAATAAGTAAGTAACTCTGTACTATGTTGATTCGATTCAAAAAATAATTGTGAACTTCATCCATATTTTATATTCGTGAGGAGTATTATGTTTAATTTCTTTAGTTATATTTGTCGGTTATATAAAATTGATAATTTGTACTAGGAAAATTGTCAATTTTTATATTCGTGAGGAGTATTATGTTTAATTTCTTTAGTCATATCTGTCGGTTATATAAAATTGATAATTTGTACTAGGAAAATTGTCAATTTTTATATTTTATATTCGTGAGGAGTATTATGTTTAATTTCTTTAGTCATATCTGTCGGTTATATAAAATTGATAATTTTTTTTCGTGAGGAGTATTATGTTTAATTTCTTTAGTCATATTTGTCGGTTATATAAAATTGATAATTTCATGAGGAGTATTATGTTTAATTTCTTTAGTCATATTTGTCGGTCATATTCGCACGTAAATAATTGTAAAATTTGTACTAGGAATACTGGTCTGGACCAGAAAAATTGATTGGACTTCACCGGTTCGAATAAGAAGAGAATTGATCTGGTCTTCAGATCGAAAAAATATATTTTGTTCTCCAGTTTCGTCTAGTCTTAATCTTTTAAAAAACCATATTTATGTTTTAAACTTTTTGAGAATATTACTTTTTACTATGAACCATAATCGATAATTAGTTTTCTTTTTATTTTAATTTTCTTTTATTCCAACATATTATAAATAAATTCAAAAATATAGAAAAAAATCGAAATTGGTCTAGTTTGAATTTTAGACCAGTTTTATCAATCTGATTTAATTTCGATCCTAACATGATTGGTTAAATGTCTAAATCTTGTATATACAATTTTTGGTCTTTAGTCAAATTTTATTGGATGATATGGACTTACATACAGTAAATAATGTCAATGGTATACCAATTGATTGTTAGTGTAGTGGCGATTGAGGCTGCACTTGGTAGGGAGGACTGCGTGTTCGATCTCTGGTAACAATAATTGGCAGGGGACTTAAATCTAACCCCTCAAAACTGAGCCCCGAATTCGGATTAGCTCAAAGGGTGAACCAGGTAGAACAACAACAACCAAAAAAAAAAAAAAATTATGTCAATGATATAGCACTCCGTATTATAATGATCTTTAAAATGCTATCGATTAGCTGGAAGTGATACTAGAGTACTAATCTAGTTCAGATTGGAAGAATAATGTTGTCCATGTAGAATGTAGTATTGGGTTCGACTTCGAGTTTACGCGACATTTGGGGCCATAACCGAATTTATTCATAACAGTAGCCATCTAACATGAATAGTTTCTGTGGATTATTTTTTTTTTTGGTGGTGTTGTGATTAAATTTTTAGAGCAAGTATTCAAACATTGAGGTCGAATTTCATGTACATTATGTACCATTTGTGACTATCCTTGCATTAGAAAAATAACTACGTATATTCTTCTTTCAGGAGTTAATATATCATCAATATGTTTCAACAAAAAAAAAAAAAAAATTAATATATCATCAATATATAAAAATAATAAAAATAAAAAAAAGTTTTTGACATTGTTAAAACGCTACAAATTGACATAATATATTTACATTACAACTTCATAATTTAGCAAGAGTTTTAGAAAAATGATTTTGGCGCTCCAAAAGTAATTGACACTTTCATTGTAAAACAATTTTTTGCATTACATGGCCTATCCGCAAAGAAGAATGTCAAAATCTCCTAGACTAGGAGTGCCAATGTCAAATGTCCATTATTTGGTGCATATCATGCACTCTTATAATTCTTTTGTGCACGGGCCATGCCACATCCATGCCCCCAATTGCCCCGCCAGCATTTCGCACTTATGGGGGCGCAGGCTGATGCACTATCATTGTTAGCATTAGCAGAGGAAACAGTTTACATCAGGAAATTTGAGGGGGGCATGGTTGTACAAAACACAGCGATTTTCTTGTTCTGTTGCTGAGAAACATGGGATATGCAGTCGTCTGTATGGATCATGTTTTGGTTACTGCTGGTTACACTAATTTGATAGAGATTCTACCATATAAACTGACATTGAAGCCCAAAGCATAAAAGCTTACCGAGTTTACAAAGAATTTCTGCAAGACTTCCTGCAGTTTCTTTACCTCTTTATTGCAAGAGAGCAGCAGATCAAGGTGTTCTTATTCACCATTATACAGAACTACCGCATGGAAGGATAAAAGAAGGTTATGGAGGGCTTCTTTGATTACATGGAATATTTGCCTACACATTTTTAGCTTGCAAATGTACTCACCAGAAATTCTTTGACTTAAAACACCAATTCTATCCAAGCTCTAAATATATAATCTGTATTCTAGATTCTGCAATTCAAACACTATTATTTTACAATTTTCCCATAACTATACTCTGTATTACAATAATATCAATAATAATTAAATTTTTTAAGAAAAAACCAGTTACGACTTATAATTTTCCTGTATTGAGTTATTAAAATTGAACTGCAGTCACCCATGTCTTATTGATGCATATTTTTAATTTTGCAAAGTTTTTAAATAAAGAGAATAAAAAATGCAGGAAATGCATGCTAATGCAGATGTATAGTACTCCGTATTGTCTAAGTTAGAGATTTGAGTGTAGCAATCATTTAATCACCCTAACAGCAACATCGGTTTTGCTTCAGCTCTGCCTGACTGCAAAAGATTGACCCCAATTAGAGAGATTTAAGTGTTTAACCTATCACATAATGAAATCAACACTTGAAAAACCAAATAGGAGTAATAAACTTGCAATCCTTGAATTTTTTTTTTTTTTTTTTTTTTTTAAAACCATGCAATCCTTGAACAATTCCCTGCAGGCAAGTTCAATTAATGAATGCAAGCAGGAAAAGAAATAACAGCAAATCAATAAAATACAGCAAGTCAGAAACACACTTCTTTGCTCATTGCCTCACATTTCCTTCTTGACTCAGACCGAACCTTAGCTTTAGGATCAAATCAAATTATTCTTCTGACCAGGCGAATCAGGCATTTACATGTGGAGGATCCTTTGTGTGCACTGCATTTGTGCAGAGAATCATCCAGTTGAGTGAAACCACAGAAGAGTCAGAACACCAGTCAGCCATATTTCTAAATGCCGGTCAACCATGTGGCGCTTCATAAAACCCCCATCAGAGTTCATAAGGAACAGGGTGAATAGGAAGAGAATTCAGCCATGCGGCTGCTCACCTCATACAGAAGATGTATAGGTAAGGGTTTAACTTAATTCCTTAAAAATCCTAATTTCTATTGTTAGACACTTCAAATCCATTCGTAAAATTGGAGATCCACGACATCCACAATTTCGAATATCATCATATCCAGGTATAAATAGGAGAAAAAGAAAAATTATGGGTAGTGGCATTCAGAGGACGAGATACAATTTATTTAGTTTAAAAATTGTTTGAGTGTTACCCCTGCTTTGGACCTCCCCTCTCCTCTCTAAAGAGTTTGTCTTAAGAAAAGGTAGATAGGTATAGTCACTAAATGCTGGGAATTTTACAATTTATTTTGCATGGCCCAAAAATCTTTTGTTATTATACAACAGGCAAGGCTAGCCTTAGTTACAGTCTTTGACTTAATCGAAGATGACACAATCACAATGCCATGTAAAATGAGTTCTCCTAAATTTAGCAAAATGAGTTTGCAACCACTTTGTTATTATACAACAGGCAAGGCTAGCCTTAGTTCGAGTCTTTGACTTAATTGGAGATGACACAATCACAATGCCATGTAAAATGAGTACCCTTAAATTGACTCATAAACAGGCCGCAAACTCATTTTGCAAATTTATTATCAAGATTCAAGAATATTCACAGCATCCTGGAATTCACTAGATCTACAGCCAACCTTACAGATTGAGGACTTATAAATTCCAAAACTACGCCTTTCTGCAATCAAACCTTTCATTGCCTTCTTGACAGAGAAGTATACATAACAACTTAACTTAGCGGGAAGAAGTGAGGAGACAGCACAAATTTTATATATGGATCATTTGCTAATAAGTAAAATAAAGTACCTTTAAAAATAATCAAAGTCATAGGCCAAACCATGGCACCTGCCACGTAAGATGGATAACAAAGCACATTGAGCAGATCGAAATGTCTAGTCATCTACAGCTTTATCCATCAAAATGTGTTTGCCGCGAGCTTTCTGAACCTGCAGACAATTGAGGTCACAGACAATTGATACTTAACATCACGTAAGGAAAAAACATCAGATGCGATGCACTTATATACACCTGCTGGTTTTGTTTTAATGACTTTCAAGTTCAGTACCTCCTTTTCCCATCCATACGTGACTGCAACGATGGCCAGAAGCAATATCTGTATCACACTCCCACCAAGCATTCCAGCCCAGATTCCCTGATCATTTGGAAGGGAAGAAAAGAAAAAATAAAGGGGCATTGTCAGTCATCACAAATAATCTAATCAGAAAATAATTTATCCTTATTTCTCATGTCCTCCAAGGGTAGCCATTTATAATTACTCCCTCCATCCCATTAAATTTACTCCGTACTTTTTTTATGTACTGGTTGGATAAAGTTGACGAGTGAGAAATTGGTGTGACCAAAGTAGTGTATGTGAGAGCAAAGTAATGGTCCCTTATGCCATTTACGGTATGGAGCAAACTCAATAGGACATCCAAAAAAGGAATATGAGGCAAATTCAGTGGCACGGAAAGAGTACCAATCAAAGCTGTATATACTTGTCACCATTGACAAGTTTGGAGATTGGTTGATGCTAAAATTATAACAACGTAGGAGATAGTACATAAAAAGCTTAAGTTGGGTGTGCATAATTAGTCTATTAGAAGTAACTTAAGAAACGGGCCAGAAAGTTTGTTAGAGGTGATAGAGGGAAAGGAATTCAGAATGTTATATATAGAGGATATCAGGGAGGACAATGAAAGTACTTTTAGGTTTATATTCCTTTATTAGCTTGTAGTTGAGATTGTCCATCCACTCAAAGGACTGGGTTTGGACTGTAATTCTCCTTCGTGATTATTTAATTGCATTAAATCACCAGTATTCCCCTAATCCTGTTCTTCCTCATGTCTAAAATTACAAGTTTCCAGTCTATTACAACTTACCATGTATCCAAAGTTTAGCACCCGTCCTATAAAAATCCCGAGAGGGAAGCCCACCAAGTAATAGCTTCCAATGTTTATATATGCTGCCAACGCTTGCCAACCTGATCCAACTGCTACGCCTGAGGAAAATCATTGAATCTGTTAGATAATGAAATCAAGACAGTCTATTCAAAACATTTTTCCAATAAATAAAAACAAATCACCTAACAGAACTGGAGGGATGCTATTCAGGAAAATGGTGGGAGCCAGCAGATATGCTAACTTGCGGACAACAGAGATCACGGATGAATTAGGTGTGAAAATCATTGCTAGTTTGTCAGGGATAGCTAAGACCAGTGAGGAGAATATCATTCCAATGATTAAAGATGTCAGCATACACACTTTGGCAGCAAACTTGGCACCACTGACATTTCCTGCTCCCAACTCAATGGCTACTCGCACGCTGTACACCAAGAATGAAATAATTCAGAAATTGACATTACATTTTCTATAGTCAATATTAAAACAAGAACATTGCAACTTTGAAGAAGTTACCCAGTGGCAGCGAGTATTCCAAGAGGAACCATAGACTCCCAGCCAAACAAGGTCACACTGTCAATGAAAATCCACCAAACCTAATTAGGCGAGCACTTTCAGATATAATACTAGCATCCATTCCATATTACCTGACCTCTTAATACCAAAAAAAAAAAAAAAAATCATTCCACATAAGAATAAATATTTATATAATTTAATACTTCATTTTAGTTTCCATTTTAGAATAACAACTAAATTAAAAACTAGTCAGTTTGGAATACCAATTGCATAAACAACATGACTTCATCAACAATTGGAGAAGCTGATTAGGCTAATGATAAGCATAAACCAAAACAACAACAAGGATCCATGTCCAACCATATAGAGAGAGCATCAACATCAACATGCGAGCTTCCAGCATCCCCAGACGCTATAACCAGCAACCGATAGTAGACATTCTCCAATCTACAACACATTGAAAATAATGGAAAAGATCATATTTATTATTTGCTCATTGACTTATAACACCTGCAATAAAGAACATAACATTAAAAAAATCATTTCATAGATAGATTTAAATCAACTAATAAGAATTAACTCATCAACATAAGTGAAGTTAATTATATCAGTCAAGGCTAGCCTAAATAACTAGTTTCAGATAGAAACTTTGAATAGAAATCATATCCTGAAGAGCTAAACAATAGACCAAATCCAAAATTAGAAAAGTAAATTATGAGTCAAAATACCTACAGGACCATGACACCAGAAGCCAAGGCAAGCTTGAAGAAGTCCCACAAATCAGTAAAAGCAAGCCATGAGAAACCATTCCATGTCTTAGGACACCCACCATAAAGAACATACCCATACATTATAAAAACTGAGAGCCACCAAGAGAAATCAAGAGTAAGGGCAGTCCCAACTATACCAACGCCAAGCTTATAAACAAAAAGCCAGCTAATAATGGCATGGACTCCCAGAGACACAGCAGAAGACCAAGCAATAATAGCCATTTTTAGTTGACTCTGCAAGAATCTCTGAAATGAGAATTGAAATACAAAGCTCAGGTGCATGGGGATCAGCCATCTTGCCACTAAGCCAGTAAATTATGAGCCAAGAATCTTCAGTAGAGGTGCAGCAAATATGAACATGGGAAGCAAAAGAATTGCACAAAAAGAGAGAACTACACATGAGCGCTGCACGTAGATTCCTAGCATGTGGTGTTGTCTAGCACCATAGGCTTGCCCACATAATGTCTCCAATGCAGTTGCCATTCCTATCTGAACATCATAAATCAATTTAAAAAGGTAACAGAGACCTTTCTTCCCAATCTTACATAAGCTCCAAATAACATCTTAACTTTGCTGTTGCCCCAAGTGTAATCCCCAATCCCTGTGCCCTACTCATGCCCATCATATATGTATAACAAAAATATGGATATGGCTTATTATGAGTTCATGAGTACTTATGTTACTTGGATTCTTCGTTTCACCTCACGTACCCGTATTGGACCCTCGACACTCGGACATGGGTATGACACCCGGACACTTCACTTTTAATTCAAAATCATGAAATTTTTTCACAAAATAACCGAGTCGGACGCTTGGACACGTACCCATGTCGGACATGGGTACTCGAGTCCAAGTAACATAATTCATGACCATTTTTAAATGCTGTACATTCAAATTATACTTTGAACAACAATACTTGAATAGTAAGTCCATTTTAGCTATAAATAACAAATTAACAGTGTGACAGGGAAAAAAAATCCCCTCAACAACTCTCTGACTAATAACGATTTATTTCCCTTCATGTTTATACACCATCAATAATACCTCCAATATTACAAAAATGGTTACTATAGGAGTCGGAGATGTTGTATACTCAATAATCCATAAGAGTGAAAGATCTTATAATTGTTATCTAGAGAGATATTTTTTACCTTTATAATCCAAGGTTTAGGTAATGTAGGAGATAATGAAAGATTGTCGATGAAAATATACAGTCTAGATGTAAACATATAAATGAATCTATTTACACACAAGATCATCATAGTTATATAATGCTTTATCATCAACAAAACAAAATTAGAGTCACTAATTAACCTGCAATCACCCATCATCAACCTACAAGCAAAAAAACACCCTCTTTTTATAAGCATTAACCTCCTTAAGCACCCACATATAGACCTTAAATATACCTAATTTCCTTCAAAATAAATACCAATAGAATAGTAACCTATACTTGGCGTAATATAGAACTCTTTTCCATCACATATAGTTGTGGATGTCAGCTAGCTTAGCAAGCAAGGAAAAGTTCATTGTAGTCCTTGTAGATGTTAGTCATGGTACCCAAGACCTAGAATAGAATAAAGTTCAAGATGTAAAATCGAATCTTGTCAACATCATTGCTCTTTGTCACTCTCTAGTCTCTACACAAATCAACTAAAAACCCTTAAACATTTCAAAAACCCCAACAAATCCCACTTAGTGAATTTAATCAAAATCAATACAAAACCCTGAAATACAGTAATGTTGATCAAATTAAAGGACAAACGAAGAGACAGAAGGAAATCATACCAAGAAACCAAAGCTAATGGAGATAAGAAAGGTGGTAGCAATGGAAAAAGCAGCAAGATCAAGGTCACTCAAATGACCAGCCAAAGATTGAGTGATAATAGTAAGAGAAAACATAGCAAAACGGCAAAAGATGGAAGGCCCAGCAATCTTCCATATCTTTTTGAGCTCATCCCATGTCTTTCTCTCTCCTCCAATCAAATCATCTGTATTTGTGATTCTTCCATCAACCATATTGTTGGGGTTATTGGGGTGAAGCAACAATGGGTGTTGTTGCTCCTCTCTCATAGTTTGGAATCTGGGGTTTTGTCAATTTTCTAACATCATTTTTGAGTTATATGTTGCTTCAGCAACTGGGCATTCAGTTTATCAGTTTATGCGAATCAAGTGGCGGGTTCCGTGGCCTTCTTTTCGTTTACAAATTTTTGTAATTTAGTGTTCTGAATCTTCTGATGTTTGACATATTTCAACCATTTTTTTTTTATTTTTTTTGACATATTTCAACATTGCTAGCCTATGGTTTCACTAAATCTGCATTATGGAGTGGAGGAATTCTCTAACTCTAATAATTTGAGTCATGAATTACTCTAATAACACGGTGTTGATATTTAAAGCATTCGTTACCTCATTGGTACGGTGGTACCACTGAATAAGTATTTTGGTATCAAAATAATACCATCTAAAGTATAATTTAATACCAATGTATGTTATTAGAGTCATTCATGACTCAAATTATTATAGGCTGAGAATTCCTCTTCCAGAATGTTACTACTTTCGTTTCTTTTTGTTCTAGGCATCTAGTATTCTTACGGAAATCTATATATATATATACTTCCTCCGTTCTCTTTTAAATGCAACACTTTGACTTTTAAACTATTATATACTCTACTTTAATTAGCATTTCTAATTTATACTCAAGGAAAAATAGTGTTAGATTCATCTCAATTTTTAGTTTATTAATATCATTTTTTATAATTTTTCCATATTTGTAATTAAAGATATCAAAATTTTAAAATGTAATTTTGCTAAAACATGTATTTACCTAAGTTGAGGCGATACAACTCAACCGAGCCTAAGTTAATTGACCTTCATTTTGTCATATGAAGAGAATATTAAGTATACCAATTTCATTACCAAATCTGTTTTGCTCATTGAAAAAAAAACATGGTTTTGATTATATTTATGTATGTTCATATTTAAGAGCCTAGATATATGTTTTCAAGAAGCAGAAAAGAAAAAAGAGAACCAATATCAAGTGAATTTAGAGGCCTTTAATTTCCAGAAGTTAAATCAGGCAATTTTGGTTCTCTCAACATCAAATAATCTAGTTCCGATTATTTTTTGGTGTAGATAATTGTGTAAGAGTTAGTTTTTCCAATTATACTATTAGAAGAAAGCAGATGTAGATAAACAGCATCATACATTCATTCAACAATGAACAGAATTAATTTTCATCTACTTAAATTTACAAAATTGGAAGCTGTACCACTACAAATGTCACTAGAGCCACAAAGTTGCAGGCAAGAAATCAGATATGTCCCTTAATTCTCCTAACCTAAGAACAACAATTAGTCAGCTTCTCTAATTCCAATATTCTTCCCCCAAAAGTAGCAACTTCTGCTCCTTCATACTTCCCTGGTAGACTAATGAGAATCACTAGAATATGCAAGAAGAATGTTCAGGTATTTGACCGGTCAAAAGGAACACGGACAAAGAGCCTTCCATGCAAGCTAACAACAGCAGAAGTATGTAGTGGATCTATCCTCACCGGAAAGATAACAATCTGAAAGCCATCAACCACACGGAATTAGTCAGATTATAACACATTTTCTTCTTCTTCCTCCTATCCCACTCTCTCTTGCAATCAGGCAAAAGACTGAGCTTAGGCTTAGGTGTAGGAAATGGAAGCAAGTTCATTAGACCACTAATCTCTTTTCATCTGTCTAGACATGAGTGGCCGTTCCTTAATCTCATTTCATGAATCCTCTAACATGATAAGAGATACTAATACATCTAAGATTTGATAACATAACCCACCACTTAAGCCAACACATAGTGAAGCTGCGATGAGGCTAAATGATAAAACCATAAGATTAAATTGTCCAATGACATCACTAAATGATGATTTTACAAGCATGTCATGAGCGGAAAGATCTAATAATATGCAGGTTCTGGAAAAGCATGCTTAGATGAACTAATGGACCTGTAATACAAAGCACAGAACCACCCAAAATCAAACTTTGTTGCAATTTACCTTCCTAAACGGAGTGATGCCCCAGGGATTGTCAAGCTGCTCTGGCTGACCGGTGATGACCAGACGACCAGCAGGATCAGACTGAACGCGGACCTGAAGGATTAAGAGACAGAAGGTGAAGTGTATTTCATCAATTTAAATCAAGAGGCACACCTTTTGAAAAATATGTAAGGAAAGTACATCAGATAAAGGAGGCCCTTTAATGAAACCACAATATTAAGGAATGCCGACAAGCATTTATTGATGTATGAATGATGAAAAGAATTTAGATACCATACAGAAATATGGAGATTGGAGATAACATTGCGAAGCCATAGCATCCCAAGAAGCCCCAATCTTTCACCAAATGTCCAGATGAAACTTGTATGCCTATGTGTTAAATTTGAACTTTATTTCATAATAGCTCTCTCTAACATAGATATCTTATATACTACAATACACAGTACCACATAAAACTTCATAACTGCATTTCAAAACTGAGCAGTCTCCCCGTTATTCTCCCTACATTGATCTGCCTAATTGACCATTGTAAAGCACAACCTATGATGCCCATATACCTAGCAACTTAAACCTTTCATGTATACGAAGTATATAATAAATATTTTTGTGATGAAAAAATAGCATTACCCAAGCAACCAAACCGTATGAATTCTGAAGGTTCAAAACAGAGAGTTTCATATTTAGTAAGTATTTTAATTAGTAAAAACAGATCTTTTCAATCAAAAAGTGAAAACCTATCTGCAAATATAGGTGATTATTTTCATGGAGAACAGAAATGCAAGAGAAAGAGAACATCAAGCCAGAGGATTAAAAGGAACACATAATCTCATTCTACAAGGGTGAAATACGGTACCTCCTCTCGAAGAAGCCCTGGGACTAAGGCATAAACCTCAAAACAATCTTTCTGCAAGAGAAGAGGAAGAAATACAAACCAAAACATCATCAGCAACAAGAAACATTTGCTTGAAGGGGGAGAAAGTTACAACTGAGTTATGTAGGAACTAGGAACCAGCCTCAGAAAACTCACACTTTCTCTGACATTGATTTTCACCCAATCAGCTGGGGGGCCGGCATCCAGAACTGTTGGCACTGTCCTGAAATTAAGAGGGAAATGTGGTTCAGTAGATACATAAGTCAGGTGAGTTTGGCAAAATTACACTTACTACATAAATTCTAGTCATCAGCCTTCTCCCCTAAGTTTTTGCAGCTGGTTTCTTTAATTTTTTATTCCATAAATAGTCATATAACATGTAGCATTTAAAGTTGTTACAAGTGACTGGAAGACTAAACAGAGGCATATCTTTTCGTATTTTGTTTGGTTTAGCCAGAAAGGATATACAAATGCTATGCTCAATCATGTCTTCTTGTTTTATAGGGTCTTCTGTGTTTGTATATGTTGGGGAGGGGGACCAAAAGGGGTCTAAGAGGAGAGGAGAATCTGGGAATCTCAACTGTTTGTTTGCTTCAGGCATCTCATTTTCTGCAAGCTCTGGATTAATTGGTTTCTTCTGCTTTACACCTGCATCACATAATCATGCAAACATATCAGCAACGATTTCAGCTAAACGCATGTATAAAAAGCATGATAAGATACAGCAATATACCAATGTTTTTCAGATGCTTTTCACGCTTTTGTGAAGAATTAATGCTCTTATCCTGCAAGCAAAAAGCATTTAATAAAATCTCGGGAGAATGAAGATGAACAGGTTATCAAATTATGAATCTCCAAACCAGAAAGTCAAAACATCACAGAATCTTTTCACAAATATTGACTTAGAATTACCTTAACATTAGTGATATGCAAATTAAACTCCACAAAAAGAAAACTTAGTTACAAAAGTGATATGTACTAGAGACTTATTTGCTGGTCAGAATTAGAGGCTAAAGGGCATTAAGATATTCCAAGAATATACTACTTGAGATTGATTAAGATAAAATCAAAAATGAAGAAACAAAACTATATATTCCTCCCCCTACAAAACACAAAATTCTTCACCATCCCCATGATCCCATATGCTTAGAGCCTCCTCCACCAACGCAGGCTGCCATCTACTACCACCAGTGCTACACTTGCTCCTCCTCCTGTCATCACCCATTCCCCTTGCCAAGATACCCTACCCTTGTTAGCCCCAATCAAGAAATTCTGACAGCAACAGGTGAGCCATCGCCAGTGCATTCGACAAGATTTGGAATGTAACAGAGCAGAGCCCAGCTCAGAGGACTCTTCAACTCTGCTTGGCTAGACCAGCAAAGCCAAATCTCTAAAATGGATGAGGCTAAGCTCAGTCAGGTTCAGGTCAGCTTGCAAGTAATTTAGTAAATATTTGCAGTATATTTTTATACTGTAAAATTTTGATTTCTTTCTTTAACGTCTATCATGTCATCAAATTTTCTAATAAAAAAAAAAAAAAAAAAATCAAGTGCCAAACCTCAAGTTCACATGCTTGGCGAGCACTACATCCCCACTTAGCATTTTTACAACTCTAGACAAGATTAATAGGAGGAAACAAAGGGAAAAAAAAAATAATAAATAAGGGGAGTTAATATCGTAAGGAAAAGGGCCTAGGGCGTCTTTAGAACTAGCAACTCCGAATTCAACAAGTATAAGAGATGGGGTTGAGAAAGAAAGCACAAAATGGAAAGAGTTTTAATGCTCTATGGGTTAAATCTAGGCGATTGGATGGGCAATGGCTTTGTTCCGTGGACACATAGGCAGGAACTAAGAAGAGGAACTGTGACAAAGGAGGGAGGAGAATACAACAGGTCATTAAGAGAAGGTAAAGGGAAAGGAGGGTTTTTAAATATTCTTTTTCCCTTTTTCCCTTCTTGTCCAACATATCACATTGCTCAGCTGTAATACT